TTCCAAGTTCAAGGGAATTTTCAAGCTGGAGTTTCATCAAGGGACAACAGTCATCCCCTCAACAGAAATACTATATGAAAGTATTGAAACAGCTGCTTAAAGCTAGTGGAGCCTCGTTTTCACAGTCTCAATTAAGATACCTAATGCACCGAGGCAAGCAGGTCACTAAGTTGGGAGTTTGAGATCAGCCTGGTCAACATGTTAAAACCCCGTCTCTACTAAAAATACAAGCAGGCGTGTTGATGTATGCCTGTAATCGCAGCTACTCAGGAGGCTGAAGCAGGAGAATCGCTTGAACCTGGGAGACAGAGGTTGCAGTGAGCTGAAATAATACCACTGCACTCCAGCCTGGGTGACAGAGCAAGACCCTGTCTCAAAAAAAAAAACAAAAAAAAAAAAAAAAAAAAAAAAAAAAGAAAAAGAAAAAGAAAGAAACCTAATGCAAACTATTGTTTCTCATAACCCGTGGTTCCCAGAAGAAGGCACACTAGACCTAGAGCTCTGGGAACAAGTGGGGAGAAATCTTAAACAACATCATGCACAAGGGCTACAGGTCCCAGTAATATCCTTAACCTTATGGGCCTTAGTCAGGGCTTCTTTGGCCCTGCTTGGCACAGAAAAGCCTAAAAAGGGACGGGAGGAGGAACCATCACCTACTTTACTGCCTCCTCCTCCTCCCTCAACTCTGCCGTTACCGGGTAAAGATACCAAAGAGGAAACGAATATTTTTCCTGAGCCCCCTCCCCCAATAAATTGGAAAAAAGACAAGGGATACACTACAGTTATGGGACCCTGTCTTAGGCAAGCAGTATTAGAAGGGGAGCTCTTGGCCTGCCTGGTAATGCAAGATCAACAAGGCAATTGGGTGTATGAACCCATTACTTTTGACACGTATAAAGAGATAAGAAAAAGCATTAGAGAAAACAGAGCCACTAGCCCATTTACAAAAGGATTGAGACCATAGCAGACAACTTCCGTATGACCCCATGGACTGGTCAGTGCCACCTAAAACAACTTTAGATGTCAGTCAATTCCTCCTCTAGAAGGCAGAATTTAATAAATTATGTGAACATAAGACCCCTTTCCAATAATGGCCACTGTTGTTACTCCTCTCCAGCCCCTCATGTGGCTCTCTCAAATCCTATTTGGGTAGAACAGTGGCCTTTAAAGAGACAGAAATTACAACAAGCCCATGAATTAGTTGAGGAACAATTAAGAGCTGGCCATATAGAACCATCAAACAGCCCTTGGAATTTACCCATTTTCATCCTTCCCCAAAAGTCTGGTAAATGGAGACTTTTGCATGACTTACGGGATATCAATGCTAATTTGCAACCTATGTGGCCCCTTCAACAGTGGCTTCCTTTCCCCATGGTGATTCCTTGAGATTGGTCTATAGTCATTATTGACTTAAAAATACTGATTTTAAACTATTCCCCTTGGAGAACCAGACAGAGAAAAATTTGCTTTTACAATACCTGTTATCAATAATGAATGGCCAGCTCACTGATTTCATTGGAAAGTGCTTCCTCAAATAATGCTATACAGTCCTATCGTGTGTCAGTATCATGTAAATCAGGCTTTGCTCCCCTAATTGCAAGATCATCCATTTTATGGATGATATCTTACTTACGGCCCCAGTAGAGCCAATACTTTTAAATTTATATGCCTCTGTCAAAAGGAATACACAGTTAAGAGATTTAATCACAATGCTTGACAAACTACAGATGTCCTCTCTTTGGAAATATCTTGGATACTTACTAACTTCCTGGTCAGGGACCTCAAAAAGTTAAATTAAATACTAACAAACACGTTAAATGATTATCAAAAATTCCTGGTTGATATTAACTGGCTTCACCCCACCTTGGGCATTACTACTGATAAATTACAAAACCTGTTTTCTATCCTAAAGGGCAAGGCAACCCTGGACTCCTCCAAGTATTTAACCCCTGCTGCAAAAAGCAAAAGTGAGGACAGAGGCAAGCTATTTCTTAGCGGCAGTTAGATTGCACAGACCCACGATATTCAGTATAATTGTTTGTTTCTCCTACTAAACATTCCCCGACAGGATTAATAGGACAGATGGCCCCAGGACTACATTTCCTAGAATGGATTTTTTAACTCACATTCCGGGACTAAAACACCCTATGTCCAGCTAGTTAGTAAAGTCATCTATACAGGTCACAGACAATGTGATCAATTGCTAGATTATGACCCTGCTGTCTTAAGAGTATCCTTAAGTAAAAAACAATGAGAAGCATTCCTTCCCCTTTTTCTAGACCTTCAGAGAGCACTCTCTAATATTGCAGGTCATATAGAATATACCCTTCCTACTTATCTCATACTCCTGTAGTTATGCCTACAAAGGCAGTTCACTCCCGCATACCTAACACTTTTACGCTTTTTATGACTCTGATAAAAATGGAAAAGTGGCTATCCGGTGGGAACTGCATAACTCCCTCACTCAATCTAGATTGACTAGGACTCAGAGAGCCGAGGTTGGAGCCCTAATATTGGCCCTAGAAACACCTTTTCCACTCAGCCTATCAATATGGTTAGTGACTTGGCTTACTCGATTTATGGCAGAACCTTGAGACAGCCCTCATTAAGTCCACTCTCGAGCCCACCCTGTGCACACTTTCTCAACTTCAGCAATTGCTGGATCAACACACACATCCTAGTTTTATCACACACATTCAGGCCCACAGTTCACTGCCTGGCCCACTAGTGCATGGCAATGATCAAGCAAACATGCAGGTTATGACATCACTTCTTGACAAAGCCACCCAATCATCACATGAATTTTTCCACCAGAACTAGAGAAACTTAACAAAACAATTTCAACTTACCCAAAGATTAACTAAACAAATCATTTTACAATGCCCAGATTGCCAGCTCACAGGTATGTCCCCTCCTTCAACAAGTGTTAACCCTAGAGGACTAGAACCTCATCAGTTATGGAAAACAGATGTTATGCACATCCCTGAATCAGGAAAACTAAGATATGTACATGTATCCGTTGATACCTATTCCCAACTAATTAGCACTCACGCTCTTCCTGGAGAGTCCACCCGATATGTCATTAAATATCTTCTCTTAACTTTTGCATTTATGGGGTGGCCCACAAAAATTAAAACTGATATGGCTCAGCTTATGCCAGCTCACAATTTCAACAACTTTGTCACACATGGAACATCCAACATTCCACAGACATCATGTAAAAACCCCAAGGACAGGCCATAGGAGAACACATACACTCCACCCTTAAAAATATGCTCAGAAAACAAAAAAGGGGTAATAAGAACCCTGAAACACTATTGGTACAAGACTTATTTACCCATAATTTTTAAAATTTAGATGATAAATTTCAATCAGCCATAGAGAAGCATTTTGCAAATGCCCCTCAAGACATAAAACCTGTGGTTTTATTAGAAGATGTAAATAGTAATGTATGGTGCAGTCGAAATGATTTGTTAATGGGGAAGAGGACATGTTTGTGTTCGCACCTCCTCAGGTCCTCTCTGGATTCCAGTGCAATGCATCAAACCATACCATAGTGTGGCTAGGACCCAACCCGTACCAGAAATGAAGGAAATGATCCTACAGGACCCACAGCCCAGGACATGACCTTGGGGATGCTGAAGAACACAACTCAGGAGGCTGAGCAAATCCTGCTCCAAACACAAACACCATTCACTCTAGATAATATGTTCCTTGCTATGCTTTCTGTTGTACATTGTGACTCTCATAGGGTATTAACCTTTCTTATTCTCACTCTGCCTGCAACCTGCACCTGCTATACTCTATTGTGTCCATCTTTGGGATCCACCTTTCTTCTGCCCTGTTACTTTGGGTGGACACCTCCTTCCCAGCCCCTAACAATGCGACTGCTTGGCTAGAAAGGACTGACATGCCCCTGGTGGGGTCCCTCAGTCATGGCACACATTGGGCTAAGGTGCCAAGTAATGCTACATAACACTCCTTAATTAGGACAGAATGACACTAATTATACTCACATTTGTCTTACATTATTTACTAATTCTAGGATGCAAAGCCAGAACAAGAGCTCTAACTGCTGCACCTGACAAACCTGTTGCAGCACACATCTGTACTCTTCAACAAAACCTGACTCAAAAAAAACAGAAAAAGGGAAGATGTAGGAGATTGGTCAGGGTGGTGGGAGAAGCAATAGGAAAACGCGCAAATCTTCTTGAAAGGTCAGAAGGTTTTGCAAAGCTTTGGGGAAGAATAAGCTGAAGGCAGCTGTTCTCTTACCCTGAGGCAAACAGCGAGGAGTAGGTACCAGGGAATGTAGGGGAATTTATCTAAATAGGCTTGTTTGCTTATATTGTCCAGAAAGTGGCCTTTAATCATCCACATGTGAGACTGCTCCCTGCAAGGGGGGACGACAATGTTAATTACCAATAGACTGTATTTGCTCCAGGCTTTCAGCATTATGTCTATACTGAATAAAAGCAAGCAGTGCCAGCTTATCGAGACTGTTCACTCTGCAGGCGGTCCCCTAGCACTCTTTCACTGCATGTCTGAGTACTCCTTTCATCCATCACTGGGCCACAGTCTGAGGGACAGGCTCAGCAGGATAAAAGAATAAAACTTGAGTATTTCATGCATGAGAAATAATATGCACAAAGATGAGGAGACATAAATAATGTTGGGGGGAATCTGAACAAAGCAATTTAACTACAGCAAATTTGCTGAAGCAAATCAGTAAGGTCAGAGTGGTAATACACAAGAGTCTTGCCAAGACCAGTCACTCTGGCTTCTGCATAAAAGACAAAGACAGGAGAGATTAAAAGTTGAAATAGCTATTTGAAAATGAATGAACTAGTCCCAGTGAAGGTACTGAAGGGTGGATAAAAGTTGCTACATTGTGAGAAAAACTGTTACATAGAATTGTCTGATCTAGGGTAAGGACAATGCAGAATACACTGGGAAGATAAAAAATTAAGTTTTTTTTTTGTTTGTTTTTTTGGTCCAAACCAAAACAGGAAAACAATCTTAGGGACATATGATGTATAAAGAAAAAAAGAAAAGAAAATGGGAAAATAATAACTTCAAATATCACAGGAAAAATTTCTAACAATATGCTCTACAATGTGTTCAGGTTTAGGCCTCAATTTATCCCAATCGCTTTATGATAGGCACTGTAATCCAATACGACATTCAATTAGGCATGAAATATCCAATTTATACATCTAATAGGAAGACACACAGTCTTGCACTTTTGAAGAAACTTCAAGTGCTCAGAAATTATCCACTGTATTGGTCTTTTGCTTTCTTTTTGTCTCCTTTCATGCTACTTGCCTTTTTGCAAGTTCACTTCTGGATAGCAGTTCTACCAAAAAGGTGCTGAGATACGGAGAGTGATGGATGGGACAGAAAAAAATGAAACAAAAATTCAAATCTACAAGAGCAATTCTATGTATTTAAAACACAGGAATAAACAGGGAACCTTGTCATGATTTATCTTCGGGCAACATTTTGGTATAACCACATATAATTTAACAACACAGTATACACCATTAAATACTAAACAATACAAAAATCCCACAATTATACATTTTAACAAGAAAGAACATAACTATAATGACATATACTCAAAACAAACCCAAGAAAACAGTGTTCCTTAATTTGGTCAGAAATCTCTATTGTCGGAGAAAAAACTGAAAATAAAGTTCTTATTGATAATGAAGACAATACAGTTCAGTCTTGAATCTTCATATTGGTGACAACATTGTCCCTTGATCTCAAATAGTTTTTGAAATTAGGCTTCTAAACTTTTATATTTTCAGACTCAACGATCTGAAACATCTTATTAAAATTTCTTAATTTCTTCTATTTTCTTAATATATCTAAAATAATAAGAGCAAAGGATTGATAAAAATTTTATATTCACAATGCAGCTTTTAAAATCTCATGTTCTCATTTGTTTTAAATTCTCAACTTAGCAGTCTCCATACTGTTATTCTGCTCTTTTCCCCTGGAATCCTAAAAAGGACCCTGAGATATAAAGCTTGTAATTAAATCTCTTATTTAGGGAATGTCTTGAATAGTTATCAGTTTAGATTTTATTTTTCTCTGTTGACTCTCCTAGATATTTCTTATAAAAATGTTGGAAGGAATCATTTTGCTAAAATTAATTCCTTTATTAGATAAAGGATTAAACCTCTCCATACTTAAAACGAGAAAACAATGTTCCTTTCGTAAGCATAATCAAGTTTCTTAAAATTTGGCTGTAAGATTTTAGAACAGGCTTATCTCATTTAGTATTGGAGATATGTCATGTTCTCACAGATAGAAGCACTAACCAAATAGGTGCTTTTCAGTCATTATAATTTCCTGGCATAGTATATGTTATGTATGATCAACATAAAATTAACATACAATTAGAAGTTACCACCTGATGCCTTTATATTCTCTGCCTTCTTCAGAACTTGTCTAATAGAGGAGTTTGCTAGGCCTAGAACATAACCCACCCAGACCTACCTGATGTTTACCATATAAAATCTGTATTTTTAATAGCCAGGTATACTTTAATCTTCAAAGTAGTTCCTTGTTTGATTATGCAGGCTATTTTCTATGAAGCAGACTATAATCAGAAAACAATGTCAGTGGCAAAAATATCTCCACAGGGCAAACAAAACAAACCTCTTGGTAACTGCCTCTCAAACTGGCCATAGCAGTGTGGTGAAACACTCACTGGCAAAAACAAACAAACAAACAAACAAACAAAAAACCCACAGGGCTCACTGTAGAGTTTGACATGTCACTTCTAACAAATATATTAAATGATGCTTTAATAGTTTGGAAAAAATGTTTTGATACAATGTGCTTAGAAATTCCTATTTGACAATAAATCTACTGAGCAAAAATGCTATCATCTGAGTGAAGTGTTAATTTGTAGTAGTTATATATATTCATAGTATTCTTTATCAGGCTGTAATGTACTATATTAGTTACACTCTATGACTTAATTCTAAGGATTAATAAGTGCTTGATAAAAACTGAAAAATTGTAGAGCTTTGTTCAGTTCCAGCTAGAGACAAACTTAAGACTATAGATTGTGTTAGAGAAAGCACAACTCTTACAAAATAGCTCTAAAATAATAGGTGCTTTCTGATTTTCCATATTCATTTTAAGTTTAGTTACCAAATTTCATAAAGCAATTGGTCATTAAGTCATAATTTTCACTAGTTTGAGCTAATCCCAAAATTAAAATCTGGTAAACCATCTAGTATCAAAATATCAAATTCTTAAATATACCCACAAAAAGGTTTTGGAAACTGTTAAACATTAAGATTATCTTATATATAATCAAAGTACTAATTAAATGAGAAGATTCTCTTGAATGTCACAGCATAGAATTCCTTTTAACACAATATCGCTCCACTATTTGTAATTTTTCAAATACAATGTATCTTAAATATTAAATTTATGAAAACTTAAAAGCAACAGACTTCCATATAGATGAGATATACAATAACAATTTTGATATTCCTTTAAGCTGTTTAAAGTGACACTAACTATATCCAAAAAAAAAGTCTATTTAACGTAAGAGATTTTGGATAAAAACCAGTAAGTTTCTTAATGATCCTGAACCAGATAATAAAATGTTAAGGATGCTGAAGAAGGTTAAAATCCACACAGGTTTCAAGAACAGAAGTCATCCATCTTTAAATATTAGACATTCGCTGGCCAGAAGACGAAAGTAAGACTTTAGGATATATTGTGGGTCTTTGGAGCTCACATTCTAATATGTTGGCACAAAATAAAAACAGGTCACAAAACCTATGGGTATTTTCAAGTTCAGTGTTTCAGAAATACATAATCATTGAACCAATTACAAAATAATATATGGCTTATATTTACTTTGTCAGTTTATGTAATAGAAAAAAAATATTTGTTCTGTGGTGACTATTTATTTTGGTGACAGTTTCATTTTCCTCTTCACGTTTTCGGTGACTCTTTTCCATTAGCATCATCAACCAGGTCTCTCAGGCGAGATAAATGGTGCAAAGCCCTTCATCAAAAAGTATAAAACACATTATAAACCAAGTATTAAGAACTAAATAGCCAATGCAGATAGCAAAAAAAAAAAAAAAAGATGGTGATTATGGTGATTACTTTATTCAAAACTGGTAAGAGTTATTCCTTATCAAACCTTGAGATCTGAATAACTGAGGGTTAAAATAATTTATCTAAAGTTCTATAAACACTTACTTTAAAAATTATACTATTTGACATTAACCTTTTTAAGATAATCTCCCAAGCGGCCTAACAAGAAACAATAGGTATCATTTGTATCACTTAACAAAAACACTTTTTTCAAGTAATTTTTATTACAGCTCTGTGAAATGATACCTTTTCTTTAGGTATCCTGCATATATTAGTTAAGAAGTAAAACACAGAAATAACTTTTAACATTTACATTTCAAGATAGCTTTTTTTAAAATAACATTTAAGGATTAGTTACAAATCTAAACAAAACTCATTTTTATTGAGTGTGGGGGAAGCTGTTGACTACTCCAGTAAGTCTGTATAAAGAAAATTAAATTAAATTAAAAAAAACAAAAGTTGTGCAATAACTTCCAGTGTTAGTAATTTCCATTTATGGTGAGTTTGGAAAGGTAATGACTACAAAACTCTATTCTATAGTCTCTTATACACAGTAATTGTTCAATAAATGTATAATAAACTACATGTTCAACTTTACCCAGGACAAGGAGAGGGAAGGAAACTAGTAGTATTAATTACTGCATATATATCTATTTCTCTGTACTATACACTTCTTGGACACTTTTACTCAAATGTAATAAGAAGACTCTCAATTCTCCCACCTTTTTTGGCAACTTCAGTTAATTTTTGAGATTCTCAACTTCATTGACTAAGTAACAATAATTCAACCCAAAGTTACTAAGCAATAAGAGGTAAAATAACTCAAATTTTACAAGACTCAGCTGGGCATGGTGGCTCACGCCTGTAATCCCAGCATTCTGGGAGGCTGAGGCAGGTGGATCACCTGAGGTCAGAAGTTCAAGATCAGCCTGGGCAAAACCCCGTCTCTACTAAAAATACAAAAATTAGACAGGTTGTGGTGGCACGCGCCTGTAATACCAGCTCCAATAAGTCTTCCTAGAGAGAAGATATTCCTCATTGAAGAATATAAGAAAACTGAGTATTTAAGGGAGTAAACAAAGGCCAGACTAAGAGCTTAGAGTATGCTAAGGCTAATGAAAGATATCTTAAAACTGGTTAGCCACCCAAATTATTAAAAACAAAAACTGTTATTTGAGGAACGTAAAGAGACATAATAGGACTTTTACCTTAGGAAAGGCCATTAAAGCCTACAAAGTATAATCAGTAACTTTTAAAATATTTTAGAAATATTTTAGAAATTTTGAAATACATTTGAAATATCTGAAGTATGAAAAGATGACCATATACCTAAACCAGAATATTTTGCAGCCTGGAAAAAGGAATTCTGAGACTGAACTAAATTTAAATTGTCCTTAAAACAGTTAATCTACAGACTGAAAGTAACTTTTGTTAAGTCTAAGCTTACTTCATTACAGTACAAACATCTTACTGATAATACTTTTGAAATGTAAAGACAAATTAAGACTGCTCAGTTAATCCAACAGGATTAATAACTAAAAGCCATCTAACAAAATGTAAACTTACTCTCTCTAAAAATGAAACTCCATATACAGGTAAGACTACTGATTGTTTATAGTAGAAAAAAAAAGTTACTATTAAAAAAAATTTGACCAAATGGTAAAAGCACTTACAGATCAATATTGATTTTTGTGGTGATTTAATAACTTGCAATCCAGCATTCATTTTCACCAAGAAAAACATCTAGGGTATGTACATTAACTCAGAAAACATATTTAGGTCTGTGTCAAGTTTAGTATCAATGCTATAAAGAGCAATGGAAAATTTACGGTCATTTACCTCAAATTTTAAAGCAAAATGAAGTCTTCATACTAGATGATCAACTGAGGCCCTGCACTTAGTCTCAATGAGTAATTTGCCACTATCATTAATGAGAGGAGTGTTTAAAATGCAGTCTTTCAAATCAGACTGCCTGCTTTGAATCCCACTTCTTACCAGCTATGTAACAGTGGGCAAGGTACTTTACTACTGCATGCCTTTTCTCTAATCTGTATTATGAAGATAATAATAGTATTTGCCTCATAGGGTTGTGATGATCACATGAATTATATTCAATAGCACTTAGAATACTGACATTTGCTAGTTATTACTATCATTATTCACTGAATTCTACTAGGTATGGAACATTATACCCCAGTACTATGGCAAGCTACAAACAAGGGTGCATTATTTATACCCTGAAAATAATAAATTAAGTAGAGAGAAAGAAGTTATCATACATGATATATTTTGACCATGAAAACTATATATGTATTTATGACAATTAGATTCATAAGTTTACATGTCTAAAGTTTTATTTTTCTACCAGTTCATTTGATCACAGGAGACTAGGCAAATTCTCTAAGTACAAAAGGTAGCTTGCCAAGGGATATGGTGTTATTAGAGTAGAAACTTTGAATCTCAGTATTTCCTAAGCAAAGCATTCCATCTTCTGAGGACACTTCATAGTCATACAACAAGCTCCAAAATAAATGCCCTTCTCTTCTGTCAATATCATGACTATAGAAACAACTTGTATTTTTCTCGATTTTATTATTTAAGACAATGTGACTAAAAAAATTAGAACTATTTTTATATCCAGGTCATTATACCTACTTTAGATTTCTGTAGTAATGTTCCAAATGATCCATTTATTATTATATTTATTCTGGAGAGAATATATGAAAACACATTTCATAACAAGTTACTGTTATAGGATACTCACACAAATACCACCATAAATTGTTGCTATTTATACTCAAAATGAGTGATTCATATCCACTGTATTTTAGGGCTCTAAGGCTATCTCATTAGGTCCTTAGAACATTTAGAATAGGCGAAAGCACAAGTTTAAAAGAAAACAGTGCTTTTCAGTGTGATTAAACAGTATGCTCCAAGAGGCTTAAATATGCCTAGCAGTGCTACTCTTAAAACTACTTACTTCTACCCTGTAACTTTGATTTGAGTCAAAGGAATGGCTAAGATGAATTTGTATCCTTATTAACAAAGAATACTTACTTCTGAAGTGACCTAGTAATAGGAATCATACTTTCTTTCAACTGTAATTTAGAGAAATCATCTTCTGAAGCCTATAATTAAAAACACCAAATATAACAAAATATTAAAAATATAAGTATAAAACTAAATGCTATTTAAAATGTGATTAAAACATTAAAAAGTATTTTCTACATTTCCAAATAATTCGAGCAAATAATTTTCAAGAGAGCATTAAATATTTTTATGTTCCATTTATTGTAAAAACACTACAACAGCCATTTTTCAACTGTCCTAAAGTATACTTCTACATATACATCCATTAAAAATCAAGTCTTGGCTTAAAATTATGACTTCACTGAACAGGGTTATATCTCAATGATGTTTAAAATGAGAGGGGAAAGGATAGATTACACTCTACATATTAATGTTATGATTATTAGAATGTAAGGACAGAAATTAAGAAACACAACTCAAATGTGCAGACTGTGGAGGTTCTCAAAAGCTGATCAACTCATTTGTAATGAAAACTAAATTTCATAAATCTACTGAATAACAATAAAACAATGACAATAAAAAGAGCCATCATTTATTGAACATTTACCACGTACCAAGCACTACAGTAAGTACTTTATACAGTTTGTCTCAATTTGTCTTCTCAACAACCTCACTGTACAGAAAAGGAAATTGATACATGAAATAAGCCCAGCACAGAAATAGAGATACTGAATAATAATCTCACTTATATGTAGAATTCGGGTGTGGGGACAAGGAGTTGCAGAGATGTTTGTCAATGAAAACATTTCAGTTAGGCAAGAAGATTAAATTCAAGAGATCTATTGTACAACATGGTGACTAAAATTAATAAAATGTCATATACATGAAAATTACTAACAGAGTAGATTTTACATGTTCTCCACAAAAGTATGAGAGGTAAGTAGCTTCCCTAGTGATTCCATGATGTTTCAAAACATCATGTTGTACACCAAATATATATATATAATTTGTCAATTAAAAATAAATAATTTTTTAAATAGGAAACTGAAACTAGAGAGGTTAAATGATTTGCACAAATACTGCACTTGCTAGTAAGTGACAGAATTAGAATTTACAATCATATTTGGGAAAACAGAAACTCTTATGTTCTTAAACACTACACTTTTGTGGGAAAAAAGTTTATCATATAGAATGGCAGTCCAAAACAGAAAGAAATTTTCAAATGCCCAGAAAATACACAAATTGAAAAAATAAAAAGGCCCTAAAGTAAAACTTGATATAATTGTATTTATAACAGCCAATAAACACATGGTAACAAAACTAAATTTCAAATGACAAAGGTGTGTGGAGAAATCTAACACTGAAAAAGTTTTCGGCTGGGCATGGTGGCTCATGCCTGTAATCCCAGCACTTTGGGAGGCCGAGGCGGGCAGATCACAAGGTCAGGAGATCGAGACCATCCTGGCCAACATGGTGAAACCCTGTCTTTACTGAAAATAGAAAAATTAGCTGGGTGTGGTGGCACACACCTGTAATCTGAGCTACTTGGGAGGCTGAGGCAGTAGAATCACTTGAACCTGGGAGGCGGAGGTTGCAGTGAGCTGAGAGCATGGCTACTGCATTCCAGCTTGGGTGACAGAG